ATTTAAACTTTTTACCAAAATATTAATAATCATTAAAAAGTTTTTAAAAAAGGGGGGTAAGAAAGGGAGGGAAGGGGCGGTTGAGGGGGAGAGGGAGAATATTAAATCTTTAATAACCGATAAATAACAAATTTGATATTGGAAATATCGAATTTTAATTTAAAACTACCCTTATCGATATAAATAAATATATAAAGAACGATCCATAGAGTAAATAAATCGTTAATGGGGGGGAAAAAAAAAAAGAAAAATTCTTTTCTTCTTTTTCATTTTACATTTTTTACTCTCCCACTTCAATTTTGCGAAAAGATTAAAGAGAGAGAAAAAGAGAGAGAGAGAGAGAGAGAGTTGAAAAAAATTTTTTTTAAAATAATAATAATAATAATAATAAATTTAACGCGGGTTTTTCATTTTTTTTAAAAAATTTATATATAAATACGAAAATTTATAATTTAAAAAAATATATATATATATTTACGAAAATATAAACATGTCGAATATTATAAGAAAAAAGGAAAAGAAGAAGAAAAAATTTAATTTACAATATGGCGGACATTTATTCCCGTAAAAAAAAAAAAAAAATTTCCCGAAAAAAAGAGGGTTTTTAAAACGTCAGAAATAAATTTATGGCGACGTTGCATTAAAAAAAAAAAAAAAAAAAGACGTAAAAAAAAATTTTTTTTAAAAAAACTTGTCTAACGAAAACAAATATAATAATAATAATATTTTTCTAACGTTTTTTTTTTTTTTTTACTACAACAAATGATTCTCACATTCATTTTCACCACAAGCAGACGACAACGACGAAGGAAAACTACCTGTTAAATGTCGGAAATAAAAAAAAACGTTATCCGAAAACGACTTCGTTTTTTTTTTTTTTTTTTTTTTTTTTATTGTCATAAATTTATATCATTTTAAGGTTTTTTTTATTTTTTTATTTTTTACGAAAACGTTCGAAAGAAAATAAAGACCATTAAAAAGAAAAACTAAAAACAAAATGGCGGCCAAAAAGAAAAAAATTTTCCTCGCCTTAATTTTTTATAACTTGGAAATAATAATTTCCGGTTATGGAAAATAAAAAAAAAAATTTTTCGTTTTTTTTTAAAATCATTTTTTTGAAATGTAAATTATTATTATTATTATTATTATTATTATTATTATTATTATTATTTAAATTTGAAACGATTAATCGTAGACTGAGCAGCTGAACTTTTCGATTTATCGAATGCGATATAATTTAAAAATCTGTCAAAATAATTTTTTAACAAATTATTCAAAAAAAAAAAGCAGAAAAATTTTTTTTTTTTAAAAACTTTTTGTTTGATTTTCATTTTTATTCAAATTCTTTTTTGATTGATCGAAGAATGATCGAATGATTGATTGATTGATTGATTCATTTTTTAATTTTTTTAAAATCGAAAATAAATTAAAAATTTTAAATTAAAAAAAAAAAAAAAAATCACGACGAATTCGATAAAATAATATGTTAAGTTATTATTATTAAAAAAAATAATTTTATTCTTTTTTTTTTAAGTTTCTCAAAGGTATTATTAAAAGGAAACAAAGTTTTTTTTTCCTTTTCCTTTTCCTTTTTCTTCCACTTCTTTTTTTTACGTGAAAATTTTTTTTTCGTATTTTTAATTTTTCAGTATAAAAAAAAAAAAGATAAAAAGTTAATGTTAATTTTTTGTTTTCTCTCTCTTTTCCCTTAACAAACAAACAAACAACAACCAAACCAACAAACAAAAGGTCATGTGAATTAAATTAACTCATCATATTGTATCAATTAATATTCATATGTATTAGAAAAGTTTAATTTAATTTTTTTTCCCGCCATTTTTTTATTATAATTTAAATTAAAATTTGTTCGATGCAATTTTTACCCCCTCCACTCCCCCTTCTTCATTCGAAATATTTTCTCCACCTACTCCTCCTTCTTTTCGTCGTGTTCCCCCCTTCTTTTCCTTCTACTAATTTTTTTTAATTCCACCTACTCCTACTCCTCCTCCTCCTCTTGCTATTACACCTCGCCCCTCCCTCTCTCAAAAAAAAATGGCGGCTGTTACGTCACATCGAATGGGTTTCATTAATTAAAATCCTTTTTAACGATTACTATTCGTTTTGATAAATATTTAATGACGTCAGTTAGGTTACGTAATCGTTTAATAAAAAAAAAAAAAAAACTTGAAAGGAATATAATAATAATAATGATGATGATAATGATGATAATAATAGTACGTAAACGTAGTTATTAAAAAAAAATTAAACAGAAGTTAACGTCTGTAAAGTTTTCAGACTGGGGTGGGAAAGAGAGAGAGAGAGAGAAAAAAAAAGTTGAAAAAAAAAAAAAATTTTTTTTTCTTTTTTTTTTCTTTTTTTTTCTAGTCGTCTGCTGGTTAAGTTCGCACACAACGTGGTTGTAACTCTATACAAACGTTTTTTTTTTTAAAGTTTCTTTTAAAAAAAATTTTTAACGCACGAAATTCGCATGAAAAGAAAAGAAAAAAGGAAAAATTAAAAGGGTAAAATGTAAAACGAATGTTAAAAGTAAGTAAAAAGAAGATTAAAGTGGATGAGGAGAGAAGCCTATTTTTTGAAACAAAATATGGAAAATTTTAAACTTGCGGTTTTCTTATATATATATATAATTTCAGTTGGGTTTAAAAAACATTTTTCTATTTCAGCATAAACTAAATTTTTATGTTTCTATCTCTCTCCCTCCCTCTCTTTTTTCCCATCCTCCTTTCCCTACTTTACCCCTCACTCTCTCTCTCTCACAAGCAACCAACTCATATTTCTTTACCTTTAATTTCCACTTTCTCTCTCTCTCTCTCTCACAAGCAACCAACTCATATTTCTTTACCTTTAATTTCCACTTTCTCTCTCTCTCTCTCTCTCTCTCTCTCTCTCCCCTTTTTCTTTTTACGTTATTTAATAAGAAAAATTGTAAATTGATGTTTATAATAATAATAATAATAATAATAATAATATAAAAAAGGGATGTTGAATTTTAAAACGTGTTTCATATCAACGAATTGCGTAATTATTTAAAAATATTATAAAAATTCAAAAAAATTTAAAAGGGAATTCAAAAATTAATCGCAAATGTGCAATTTAAAAAAATTTCTATTTTTAATTTTTTTTACCCTCAACCGGAAATTTTTTAAAACGCGCGCGTTTTACGCTGAATTTTTTTTTCCGTTAAAATTTTCGGTTTTTAACATTTGAAAATTTTTTCCCACGTGAAAATATTTTAAATTTCGTTTTTACATCTTTTTCAAAAGGTTTTCTTAACAAAAAAACAAAAAAAAGTAGGAAGGATTGCCAACCTAACAAAAAAAATCGAGCAAACATAAAAAGGAATCGATAAACTTCAAATCGAATTCGATAAAAAAACAATTGGGATGTCACAAAACGTGTTAATTACGTCATTTTTAAGGACTCGACGATCAACCAATGAGAGAACGCGCTGGTGACGGCGGCGGCGTCGGTAACTAAACGAAAAGAATTTTCTGATTGGCTGATCGTTTCGTCCCTTCGTACGTCATCGTCGTCGTCGTTGTTGTTGTCATTATCACTCAGTTTTATTAGTTTTTCACAACGCGTTTTATTGTTAATACTTAACACGAAAATAAATTTTTACTTTTTTTTTTTTTTAATGGGGGGTAAAAATTAAAAAAATGTGTAAAATATGCAAAAAAAAAAAGGATAAAATTATGCAAACTAAATAAAATTTAAACCTTTTTTTTTTTAAAAAAAATAAACCTTAAAAGGATTATTTTAATTTGTTTATTATTATTAGAATCGAGCAACTTTAGCAAATTTTTTTAAATTAATTTTTTTTTTATTTTTTATATCCATTAATGTAATTCTCGTACTGCGTATTAATTTTTTTTTTAACTTTTAAAATTTATTTTTTTATTTTGGAAAGAAACGAAAACGAAAACAACAGCGACGACAGCAACAACATCGATACGAAAACACAATTTAATTAAAATTCATTATATTAAAAATAATTTATTCTGTTGACACGATTTTGTTTGAGTCATTGAATTACAAAAAAAAAAAAAAATAATTAAAACACTCTCACCGGTTTTCCCCCCTTCTCCCTTTTTTGTTGCTGTTGACAACTTTACGTAATTGACAAATTAAATTTAATTTAATTTAAAAAAATAAAAAAATAAAAAATCATACCTTTTATCATCATCATCATCAATTTTTTTTTGTGTTTTTTTTTTTTTTTTTTTTTTTAATCGTTTTCACTGGATTACACCGGTTTTTTTTCGATGGGGAGGGGGAGGGGAAGGGAAGGGAAAGAGAAAACCGAAAAATTAACGAAAATGAAATTTTTTTTTTTTAAAAAATAAGCTAAATGACGAAAACCGCAAGAGCAACAACGACAACAACAACAACAAAAACAATTTTTATTTTTACACGGTTTTTAATTTTCCACCCCTCCCTTTTTCTCTTCTTTTCCCCTCTCTCTCATTTTTTTTTTGTTTTTCCCCAATGTCCTCTCTTATTTACCAACCCTAAGTTCCTCTTTCTCTCTCTCACAAACGCACACCCACACTCGCAAACCCACACATATTCCCTTTCTCTATCTCTCTTTTCCAACTGTTTTTCCTACCTCACACACCCACGCTCTCTCTCTCTCTCTCTCTCTCGTTCGCCGCATCGTCTCCCCTATTCCCCTATTCGTCCTTCCCTATTAGCTAATAGCTCTTACATTTGTGTGTGCTTAACAATATTTGATGATTTATTTATTTTTTGTTTTTGTTCGTTTTTTTAATTTTTTTTTTTTTTTTTGAGTTCTCGTTCGTTCGTTTCCTTTTTTTTTCTATTTTTCCTTCCTTCGTACATTTTCTTTTTTTTTCTCGTTTGTTTCGGTTTCCGTTTCGTTCGCAATCAATTTTTTAAAAAAAAATTATATATATAAACGTTTTATTCGCGTCGTCTGTTCTTTAACAGACCCATTTAATTTTTCGATATTGAAAAACTCACACACCACCAATACCACCACCACCACCATCACAACCAGCATTACCACCTTTAACGATAAAAAAAAAAAAAAATTTACTCACCGTGAGGCAACTGATGAACAATATTGTCATATTCTTTTTGTACAGTCTTAAGAGATTCAATGAGTTGAGGAAGGCTCCTCGTTTTATTATTATTATTATTATTATTAATTAAATGACCATTTTTAATCATTTCAGGTATCGAAGTAGTCGTCGTAGGTATCGAAATGGATTCGTCCTAAAAACAAAAATTTAAATGATTAATTCATTTGTAGGTTTCCATTTTTATTATTATTAATAATAATAATAATAATAATAATACAATACATCTAAATGTTCGTCTAATTTTTCTTCTAAGGCTGCTAATCTCGCATCTTGTATTTCATCTTCTTTTTCATCTTTTTTTTTAACATTCCATCGTGTCACGTTTAATATTTGTGCTTGTAACGAACTTAAATGACCCTCATCAGTGTCCAAACGTTCTTCCAAACGATTTAAACTTTCCGTTAATGCTTTCAACGACGTCCTTTGATTTTCCTACGGGAATAAAAAAAAAAAGGAAAAACGTTACGTACGAAAAATATTATTATTATTTTTTTTTAAATGATTATTTCAACTATCACTAAAAAAAAAAAAAAAAAAAACTAAACATCCGGTTTTAAAATAATCATCAAACGATAGTTTTTTTAAAAAGTTAGATTTCCGGTTTATAAAAAAATAAAAATGGCGGACGTGTTTTTAAATTTAACGTCACGTTTAATATACTTTTTAAATTAAATTTTTTTTTTTTTTCACTCTCTCTCTATCTCTTTTCCTTTGACGAAAAAACCTTTTGTGTTAATTTTTTTTTCTCTTTTCCTTTTATCCCTCTATTTCTCTCTCTTTCTCTCTCTTTTTCAAACGTTTACACGTAAATAAAAAAAAATTTTTTTTTTGGTTTTGTAAATAAAAAAAAAAAAAGGATTGTAAAAGATTTAATTTGTTTTGTTACGTTGGATTTTGTACGAGAGAGAGAGAGAGAGAGAGAGAGAGAGAGATTATCAGACTAAATGAAAATCTGAAAACAAACAACAACAACAACAACCAATGAAAAATAAATAAAATAAAATAAAAAAAAAGAGTTGAAGAAGTTAAACGTAAAAAAAAAAAAAAAACAAAAAAAAATTTTTATTTTTTATTTTCTTTCTCTTCCACCCGTCCCTCCTCCTCCTCCTCCTATTTATTTACCCAAAGTTTTTTAAAAGATACTAGAAATAAATAAATAAATAAATAATAATAATAATAATAATAATGATAAATGAAACCTTTTTTTTGGACGATGTAAAGAAAAAATTTTCTTTTTCCAAAAATTTTTTTTTTTTCACGTTTTTATGCCATCGACAGACATTAAAAAGTTTTGGTTGTTGTTGTTGTTTTTCCCCGAATAACAAAAAAAACCATAGAGAAATTAAACGGAAAAAAAATCATAGAGTATTAAAAGGTTGTAACGAAAAAAATACATTGAAAGTTGGACAAACGAAGTTAAAAAACGAGGGGAGGGGAGGAAATCCCGGATATTGAATTTTTTATTTATATTTTTTTTTTTAATGGCGGTTTTTCAAAAAGGAAGGAAGAAAATGGAAAAAATGGTAACGAATTCGTTTTACACGTAACCAATCAGTGGGAATTGATAAAAAAAATAAAAAATAAAACGTGATTATTTCAATTAACGTTGATTGGTTAAAACCATATAATTTCCTTTGAATAAAAAAAAAAAAAAAATTTTAATATTGGAAAGTGTATTAATAGGAAAAAAAATAATGAGAGAGAAAAAGAGAGAGAGGGGGGAAAGAGGGAAAGAGAAATATAAAGATTGTTTGCGTGATTCGATGCAATTGAGAGAGAGAGAGAAAAAAAACCTTTTCAACAAAACAACAACAAAAACAAAAACACGAATTTTAATTTTTCATTTCATTTTATTTTTCATTTTTTTTATTTTTAGTGGGGGGAGGGGAAAAATTTATACGTAATTGAAAATTTTTATTTTATTTTAATAATTTTTTATTATTTTTTTATCCGATATGAAAAACAATCAACGTATATATATATACAATAATAATAACAACGGAAACAAAAACAACAACAACAACAACCACCATCTCCTCCACGATAATTTGTTTTCAGCTACGTTTCCACCCTCGCCCTAGCCTCCCACTTCCCACCCCTCTTAACCTTTTCAACTCCCACTCTTTATTCACTTTCGTAAGCGTAATATTAAAATTTTACATCGTCTGCTAGTAATAACACACACGAGTATAAACATAAAAATTTAATATATATATATATATATATAATTCAAAAAAACCGCATAAGTATACACACATATATATAAATTTTTAATATAATTTTATATTTAAAAAAAATAAAACACTTGTCGTTTTATTATTATTTTTATCATTAATTTAAAATTTAATAACGTACGTTAAGTTTATTGAAAATAATAATAATAACAATCGATAAATAGATTTTCAATAAATAAATTGATATAAATATTTAAATATGATATTAAAAAAAAAAAAAAAACAAATCATCATCATCATCATCATCATTATTATTATTATTATTATTATTATTATTGTTATTATTGTTATTATTATTGTTATTATTACACTCGTTTCGTCGTCGTTATTGAAATTTTATTTATTTATTTATTTTATTTTATTTTATTTTTCTTTCAAATAACGAAACGTAAACAAAATAAAAATAAATAAATAAACAAATGTGACGTAATAGTAAATGACGTCACACACACTTAAAAAACTAAATATTATTTATATTAATAACCAATGAGATTTTGTATATTCGATTAAAAACGTTTTTGATTGGTTAAAATTTTTTAAATTTCTGGAAGTTTATATTTCGACGAATGAGGAGGAAGGAAGTGGTGGAAGGGGGAGGAGTAAGGAAGAGTGTGAGTTGTTTATGCGATTAAAATTTTTTTTTTTCTTATAATTTTTTGGAAAAAGTTAAAATTTAAGAACAAAAAAAAAAAAAAAAAAAAGGAAAAATTTTATCCTTAAGGATTTTGAGAGTATAACGAACGAATTAAAAACTTTTTAAAAGTCATTTTGAAAAATTCCTCTTTTTAAAAAAAAAAAGAAAATATTTTTTTTTTCAATAATAAAAGTGAATTAAATAAGTTAAAAAAGAATTTTTTCTCTTTTTCTTTTAACCCCCCCCCCCTCCATTTTTTTCGCGATGGCGTTTCTCAATCTCGAATTTTTCCCCATCATCACTTTTTTCTTTTTCTTTTTTCGTTTCGATGGGACCCCGAAAAAAAAAAAAATTATTTTTCGAAATTTGATTTCGTTCGGGAATTTTCATTTTAATTCCACATCGTCTGTTAAAAACAATTTATTTATTTATTTTTTTTTTTTTAAAAATTTTATTTCACTTAATTTTGTTCGAAACGAATTTTCATTCTTTCCTTTTTTCCTTTTTTTTTTGTTAATTTGAAATAAAAATAAAGAAAGTAAAATAAAATAGGAAAAGAAATAAAGAAGGAAGAGTTAGAGATATAAAAATGTAGATAGAAACGGAAAAAGAGAAAAAGACAGAGAGAGAGAGATATGAAAATTATACGATGTAGAATTTTGAGTTTAAGGTTAAATTCTACCATTGAATTTACTTTTTCCATTTATTTTTGCCATTGACATTTTTTTTCAATTTAAATGGAAAAAAAATAATAATAAGAAAGAAAAAAAAAGAAAAAAAAAAAATTGAAAATCATTGAAAAGACATTTTAAATTTATTGATGGATATAAAAAAGGTTAATTAATGAAAATGACAAGATAAAAAACCGGAAGGGAGGGAGCGAGGGGGTAAACCGGAAATAAAAATACCTAAAAAAAAGGAGAAGAAAAGAAAAAAAAATTTTTTTTTTTCTTTTTTTCTTTTCCTCCGCTTTCTCTCCTTCGCAAACCCTTTTGTTTCCGGTAAATCGACTTTTAAACTAAGTATCATTAAATTTCTTCTGCTTTTTTGTTTTTTTCCTTTTTCTTTCCTTTCCGTTTCCTCCCCTCCCCCCTCCGCGGTCTTTAATTTATATTTGAAAAAAAAAAAATTAAATATTTCATTGATTTTCCTTTTTTTCCTTTTCCTTCTTTACTCACTTATAATATTCTCGAATTTAAAAATATTTTCAAAGGAAAAATTCAATGGAAAAAACGAGATGTCATTTGCGGGTTTTTCTTTTACTACATACACATACATTTTTTTTTTTTTTTAAGAAATCAAAGATGGAGTAAAAAAAGTTTTTTTCGTTTATTTTTTTTTGTTTGAAAATAAAAAAAAAATTTTTTTACAAAATGTTTTCATTCAATCTCACTAATGCCTTTTTTTTTTTTTTTTGCTTCTTTTCAAAAAAAAAGAAAAATTTTTTTTCTTTTATTTTCCGTCTGTTTTCCAACATTACTTTCTCCTTCTAAAAATTTATTAAATTTAATAATAAAGAAAAGAAAGGAAAAAAAAGGAAAAAAAAGGAAAAAATAAAAATAACCATCTGTTATTTGACCGGCCGACAAACGTGCGACGACGACATTTGTTTTTCCTCCATTGACACGACCGAACAAAAAAAAAAAGAAAATTTTTCTTCTCTTACTCTTTCTTTCCTTCCCACACACGTTCCCCTTCCACTCTACCCCCATTCACTAATCGCTATTCGTCGTATTGTTTTTTCACCCCACCGCCCTCTCTTAACCTCATCTTCTCATTACCCCACCTCTCGTAAAATAAATAAACAAAACGATTTGATTTGATTGGTTAAAAATATTTTCTTAATGAGAGTGACGTGGACGTGGGTGGGGGAAAATGCAAGAAAAGAAGAATTTTAAAAGTGGAAGGGGAAAATTTCGCACCGGAAACAAAAAAATTATTTAAATGGAATGGAGAGGGAGAGAGCGAGAGAGAGAGAACAATAAGGAAAACAGGTGAATTATAATATTTAGCTTTCAGGTAAAAATTAAATAAAAATTTTCTTTTTTTTTTCCTTCCGGTGCTGACTCCATCTTTTTTTTTTTCTCACTTTTTAACAATCAGCAATTTTTCTTCTAACATAACAAAAATTACAATTTTTTAGTTTTTTATTAAATTTTCTCCAGGTTGTTGTTGTTGTTTGTATGTTTTCCACGCGGTTTGTAGACGACCGACTCGATAAGGGGGGGGGGGGATTTCATATTTGTATAAACAAACAAACACAATCTCTTACTCGTACGTAAAATTTTCAAATTAAAAAAAACATTTTTTTATCATTATTGTTATTATTATTATTATTATTACTATTTCTCTGGTATTTTCATTTTTCCGTTTGTAACTAAAATGAAAATTCGTTTGTTTGTTTGTTCGTTTGTACGTTCGTTCGTTTTTAATAATAAAAAAAAATTTATTATTGGTTTTTTTTTGCCCCCCGATGCAAAAATCACGTCCCACATATAAATTCCAGGCTGGAACGTAAAAAAAAAAAAAATCATTTTCGGATTTGTCCAAAAAAAAAGGAGGAAAAAAAAATTTCCTTTTTTCCGCGGTTTTTCCAAAAAAAAAAAAAAATTATTTAACGATCATTTTTTTTTTGTAGAAAAATTCAATAAAAAAAAATTTCCTCACGTCTTTCGCGTATATATAAAAAAAAAGATTTTTTTTTTTTATTCTGCTGCCACTTTTATTTTATTATTATTGTTATTTGATCGTCCAAGTAATAATTATTTTGATTTGTGTTCTTACACATTGATCTTTTTTTTTTTTTTTTTTTACTCTTCCTCTCCCTCTCCCTCCCTCTTCCTCTTCCTCTTCTTTCCCTCTATCTTTCTTAAACATTAACGTTTTTTTTTTTTTTTGACGCGCGCGCGCAATTTAAATTCAAATTCGATAATTTTTACATTTCGAGTCGAAAAGTGTTTTAATTAAATGATTTTTTATTATTATTATTATTTTTTTTTGTTTTCACTATCTATGAAATTTTATTTTTTTTCCTTTTTTCCTTTTTTCCCATAATTTCGTGGCAATTAACTTCCGCTCCATAAAATTTTAACGTTTGATTTTTTTCCGAAATGAAATTTTTATTTTTTTCTTACTTTTCCTTCTTTCTTTCTATTCATGTCGTTTGAATTTATCACGCGACCGGAAACGTTATTCGCCAACCAAAAAAAAAAAAACAAAAAAAAAAAAACAAAAAAAAAAAAACAAAAAAAAAAAAATTTTCTTTTCGCATTAATAGAATAAAAAAAATCACTTCCGGTTTGGCTTTTCTCGGGAGAAAACGTTTACGCGGTATTGAATTAAACTTTCCAAAAAAAATATTATGCTTAAATATAAAAAACGAATCGATACATCGATCGATCGATATATCGTACCGTGATAATAATAATGATAATAATTAATAGAAAATTTAAAAAATTTTTCACGTCTTCTGCTACTAGTAAAACAAAACCCAATCATCAATAAAAACCGTTTGGTTTTTTTTTAACCGTCAATCATTTTTATCAGTTATCAACGAAATTTTTTTTTTTTTTTTTGTAAATGAATGATAACAAAGATAAATGATATGAGAAAAAAAGAAAAAAATTTCTCCAGGAATAATTCTCCAGAAATAAAATTGAATTAATTTTTTTTTTTAAACGAATTAAACTGGAGAAAATGAAATCTGACCCGTGATAACTTTAAAAAGGCTAATAAAAAATAGATCCTAGTCATTTTATTCACCATGTTCTCTCTCTCTCTCTCTCACACACACTTTTTTTAATGAAATTATTAGTGAGTGTGAGAGTGAGAGAGAGAGAGAGAAAGAGAAAGAGAGAGGGAGAAAGTTTTAAATCTCTGGCGTTGTAGTAAAACGTACCCACGGGGGTTGTATTTGTTCACATTGAGCTCTCTCGAAACTCGAGCCTGGAGAAAATTTTTTTTTTTAAGAAAAAAAAAATCCAGGATCTTTTATGGGTGGGAGGGGAGGGGGGTCAAATATTCTTTGATGTATTTTTCTCTTAGGAATTTTCTATATACGATATATATTTTAAAAAAGGGATTTAAATATTTCTAACCGGAAAATATACTCGTGGGGCCGATGAGAGGGGGAACGTGGGGGACGACGACGATCGTCGTCCTCGTCTGGAGAAGAAATGAAAAGGGAGTAAATAAATACGATTATCGAAGTCTGGAAATATAAAATGAATCCTCCAAAAAAAACCCGGATATTTTCTAACAGGAAGTGAGTAAATAAATAAATTTTATTAATTAAACTCACCTGAGTTTCTTTGACGATAGAAAGTGATGATGTTGCTTGCGCCATATTGAATTCCATTTTCGATATTTCCCTTTGCAATTCCGGTACGTTATCGTCGACTTTTGTTTCTAAATTTTCAACGGATTCTAATAATTGAAGCATTGAAAGGTGTAAACGATTAAGTTCGGATATTTGTCTTGATAAATTAAATATTTGCTTGTGTGTTAATCTGTCGGTTTCTTCGAGTTTTCTGACTCTTTCCACAATTCTCTCGTCGATTATTTCATTGTTTCGCGGATTTTCTCCTTTCAATTTATACGTTTCCATTTGTTTTTCCATTTTACGTACGGCTTTATCCAATTGATTTTGACGATATTGTATTTTTCTATTCGTCCTTTCGATATTAATCATTTCCTGACGTAAATAACGATTGTGACGATATTTTTTATTCGTTTCCAAATTTTCACCATTTTCCAAAACGATTTCGTTCGATTCCATTTTTAAATTTTCTAATTTTGATTTTGACGACGGTGGTAACTGGAATGAAAAAAAACAAAGAAAAAAAATTAATTTCATTGGTTAATTATTGGCCAATCAAAATTTGTTACGTAATTACTACGTCATTTCGATACCCCACACATTCGAATACGAATGAACCTTTATGACGTCATACGAATTCGAATACGTATTTTTTTTTAATAAAACGAATTTTCGTTTTTTCTTTCTATTATTTGTATTCCGATATTTAAAATTTACTTTTTTTTTTTTTAAACTGAAAATTAAAAAAAAACAATCGGGGGAAAAAAAATTTTTTTTCATTCTAATACCACGTTAACGTCGTTTATTTATTTAATCAAAAATTCATTTCCTTCAATCAATTTTTTATTATTATTCTTTTTTTTTTTTTTGGATGAAATTAATTTTCATCGTGTACGTAGAATTTGTGTTTCATTTATATATACATTTATCGATCGATTAAGAATCAGGCACACACACGCACACGCACACGCACACTTCTTTTCCCACTTTATATCAAAATATAATCAAATTAAATAATCATTAGAGAGAGAGAGAGAGAGAGAGAGACACTTACAAGTTGTTTATAAATATTTGCGTTTATATTTTCCATAAGGTTTTTATTCGTTAAAATTTTCATTTTCTTATTAATTTTCAACATTTTTTTATTAAGGAGAAAGAAAATTCAATACACAAAACGTTTAACTTATTATTATTATTATTATTATTATTATTATTATTATTTTTATTATTATTATTATTATTGTTAATCAAACATCAAAAGATAAAAACCATCGTTTCCGATTCAATGAATTTTGTTCAATGTCGGCGTTTTGTCTGTCAGTTTCATCATCATCATCACCATCATCATTATTATTATTAGTATTATTATTATTATTATTATTATTATTAGTATTATTATTATTATTATTATTATTATTATTATTATTATTATTATTATTTATTTATTTTTAAAATTATTACACGACGTAAAATTTTTAAGTATTATTAAAAAAGGTTTAATAAACCGTAAGACGAAAAATTCAAAGACAATAATTAATTAAAAAAGAATTCAATCGAAGGAAACAAAAAAGAATTTTCATGCCCTTTGACCTGTAAAAACAAATTTTTTTCACCAATGAACGTATTTTAACCGATTAGATATGGCGGATAAAAAAAACAAAATAAAAATAACACGAGAGAAAAATTAAGATTACGATTCCTTTGGGGGGTAGAAAAAGAAAAGGCGTGAAAAAACGTGCAAGAAAACGTGAAAGAAAAGCATACAAAAGAGCAAACATGAGGAGTTAGAGAGAGAGAGAAAGAATGTTGACAAATAGTAAAAATAATAGGGAGAGGAAGAATGAGATGAAAAAAAAAGATAAATAATGAAATAGAAGAAAGAATGAGGGAAAAAAACAAATATAGGATGTTGAAAACGATGGGGAAGAAAAAGGAAAGAAAGAAACAAATACAGAGATAGAAAAAGAAAGAAAGAGAGAGAAAGAGACAAAAAAAAACAATAAGGATGTTAAAGAGAGAGAGAGAGTGTGTGTGTGTGTGTTAGAGAGGGAAAGGAAAGGAAAAAGCAAATACAGAGATAGAAAAAGAGAGAGAAAAGGAAACAAAAAAAGCAAATACGGAAGTTGAGAGAAAGAGAGTGAAAAAAGAGAAAAAAAAAAGAGAGAGAGAGAAAGAAATACATGAAGTTAAAGAAAAATAGAGAGAGAGAGAGACGAAGAGAAAAAAAACTAATGAGAAAACTAAAGAGAGAGAGAGAGAAAGAGGAAAATACAGAAAATAAAAGCAAAAGAGAGAGAGAAAGGGGGGAAATACAGAAAGTTAAATCAAGAGAGAGAGAGAGAGAGAGAGAGAATATAAAAAAAAATATTTTAAATTTTTAAAAAACGATTTGTCAGCATCGCCAAAAAAAAACTCGATAATATTTTTTATTGGTATAAAAAAAAAAAATCTATAAAATATACCTTGTGACGTCACAAACGGAAAAAAATTATTATTATTATTAACAAAACATTAAAATAAATAAAAAAAAAGGAAAAAATTCCAATTTCATATTTAAACAAATATTTGATTTTTCTTTTTTTTTTTTTTTTTGAAAAAAAAAATCAACGGGAAAAAACGGGAAAATTTTTTTTTCTCTCTTTTATTTTTTTTCTCCTTTCCCTCCTCTCCTCCTCCTCTCCTTTTTTTGTATTTTTTTTTTATGCCGGCACGTGAAAAAATGTTTTCGTAATGGAAACCTAATTGAAAATGCAGGTCACGTCAAAGCCTTTTCGAAGTTACCGAATCGTTTGAATTTCTAATGCCACGACTTTCCACATGCGACCATGTAAATCGAAAGAGAAGAAGAAAATTTTTTACTCTTTTTTTTTTTAAAAAAAAAAAACAGACGAAAATGAAGAAAATTATACCGGAAAAAAAAAAAAAAAATTTTTTTTGGTTTTTATTCCAGTTTGACTTCTATACAAATTTTAACACTTTTACCTTTTTCCTTTTTTTTTTTTGTTTTATTTTTTTCCAGATTAAAATTTTTTGGGGGGAAAGATTTAAACAAACACACGAAGATAAAAAAAAATTTAATTTGATTTATTTATATTAATTTAAAATAAAAAAGAAATTGTCTCTCAAATATGATAACATTTCCTTATGGAAAAAGGAAAAAAAAGGAATAAAAGGTTCTTTTTACCATTTTTCCTTTTTTGTCCTTTTAATCGTTTTCGTACATTTTCTCATTATTGTCATAAAACAATTAAAACACGACAAAATGACAAAACAAAAAAAACAAAAAAGGACAGAAGAAAAAGGGAATTTTTTTTAAAGATGAAATGAAATAATAGAAAAGGAAAGGAGAAAAGGAAAAGAAAAAAGGAAAAGAAAAAGGAATAAAAAAAAAACAGGAAAAATTATACGAAAAGAAAAGAAAACATAAAAGAGATTAAAAAAAAAAATTTTTTTTTTTCATCTTTCCGAGTCGAATATTATTTTATAAGCAACATAACCTTTTTTTTTTTTTTCTTTAAAACCTTTGTCTTTCTTCCTTTGTTACCTTTTTTTTTTTTAAACCTTTAAATCTTCTCCTTTATTATTATTATTATTTAATTTCTTTTTCAAACTACCTTTTCAAACGTTATTTATAAATGTAGTAAATTTTTCTTTTTAAAAAAAAAAAAAAAAATTAATTTTTTTCCTTTTAATTTTAAACCTTAAATCAAATATTCATTTATTCTGCTGACACGTCGTCGAGAGAAAAAAAAGAAAATTTTTTTTTTTGTTAAAAGGAAAATGCGAGAATAAATAATTTTTTCGAGAAAGGATTTTTTTTAATAAATAATGGCAACCCTAAAATAATTAATAAGAATAAAAAAAAAATTTTTTTTTTCCAGGTGGTTTACGTCACAAATTTTTCTTTCCTTTTCCTCCTCTTCCTTCTCCTCCTTCTCATCCTTCTCCCCATCATCCCTACCCCCCGAAAATACTCCAGAAATTTAATTTGATCGATCAAAACGATGATGGCATTCCAAAATCAAAAACAAAACAAAAAAAATTTCAATTTTAAAACCGACGCAAATTTTCAAACGATTATCGTACGATTATCGATACATCGATCGATATATCGATATCTCGAAAACATAATTTAATAAAACGATAAAAACAAAAAATTTCTAACTCCCCCGTCCTTTTCTTTTTCCATTTAAAAAAAAATTATTTCGTCTTCTGCTTGAATGAATTTTTTAATTTAAATCATAATCTACGTAATAACGTGTAAGAAAAAAAAAATGATGATGATGAGGAAAAAAAAAGAAAATTTATTTTTGATTACGTCACAAGGGTTAAATAATAATAATAATAAGAAGAAGAAAAAAAAAACTTACGAAGATCCATTTTTAATTTCCGCTTCCGTTTCGTTTGATTATTTCAAAAAAAAAAAAAAAATTGACCTTTTTTTTAAAACGCGCGTTTCCCCCCTTCCGTTTTCCCCTTCCCCCTCTCCCTCCACTCTTTCTCTCTCTCTATCCTTTTCTACAAACATTTTTGGGAAAAACCTCAAAAAAAAAAAGAAAAATATTTTTTTTATTTTTTGAAATAAAAGCAATTTTTTCTTATCCTTTTTTTTTTTTTGTCACACGGGCTCAAGAAAATAAGTTTTATCTTGTTCTTATGCTTCGTTAAATCTAATGTCACTTTTTTATTCTCCTTCTTTTTTTTTTTTTTGTTTTTACCACACAGAACGTTAAAGAACAAAAAATAAAGATTACGCGGAGAGAGGGAGAATGAGAAAAGGAAAGAAAAGTCAGTCTCTCTCTCTCTCTCTCTCTCTCTCTCGAAAAAATTTTCAATCATTTTCCTATTAAAAAAAACTTGATGTGCGCTGACACGAACACGAAAAAAAAAAAAAATTCAAAATCGAAAATAATTGATGAATAAAACGTCGTGTTTAAATGTTGACGACGACGATGACGACGGGGGGGGGGTGACTACTAAGAAAGGGGATGAATTTGTGTAGCAAAATGCCCGGGAAGGGGGGTGGGCGGGTCGTGTATGAAAAGACAATTTTAATATGTCAAAAATGTCAACAAAAAAAAAAACTCGGCGTTAATCTAAGAACTAATTGATACGTCACAAACTCTCAATAATATTAATAATAACGATAATGATGATGATGATGATGACGCTAAGCGGAAGTTTAAATAAATAAATAACCGGAAGTTGAAATCATTAAATCATTTCGACCGAACAAAACATTTAAAAAATTTTTTTTTCTTCACGTGCGACAAATAAAATTTTACACTTAATAAAATCATCATCATCATTATTATCATCATCAATATCATCATCATCGTCATCGTCATCATCATCGTCATTATCATCATTATTATCATCATTATTATTTTTTTTTTTTGGCACGCGATTAAAATTCCTATCTTGAGAAAAAAAATTTTGTTTTTTTTTATTTATTTATTTGTTCAATTAATTATTATTTTATCGTTAATAAAAAAATTTACTTGCAACAAACGAAAACAAACAACAAACAAACGGAAATTTATCATTAAATTGTCAATAGCACAATTCATTTCCGAACCGGAACCGGAAAAGGGAGAAAAATATAAAAAATAAAAATAAAAAATCAATTATAAATAAATTAATTAATCGATCCATTGATTTATCGATTGCGTGGTTAACAATAACAATAATAATGATAATAATAATGATAATAATAGAAGACGAAATTAAATTTTGTCACTGGTGAAAGACGAAACGACAACGACGACGACGTTAAAATTCATTACTTATTATATCATTTACCTTGAAAAACAATTAAATTACCTTTAAGACTTTGACATCCCGTGTTAATTTCATTAACGACTTTGTAAATGACGTAACTTCCGCTTTGACATCCTCTACCTGAAACAAACAATTGAAAATCAATTTAAATATTTATAACCTTAAACGTTTTCACCATTATTATTATTTAAAGTTCAAAAAAAAAAAAAAAATTTTTTTCTCCTTTCATCATCATCATCATCGTTAAGCCGCGAGTATCATTATTATTATTATCATCGCGATCCTTTCGAAAACGATATAAATAAATTATTGAATGACGTCACACGCTCAATTTTA